CAGCGCACGCTTTTCTGGACGGTGTGTTTTGCGCATGCGCGAAGATCGCCATTCTGTGGATGGCTGCCTATGTGCATGTGCAAACTGAGTTAAAACCCAACAAACCACCGACGCCTGCTGTGTGTGAACGACCATGCAGCGATGGGCTCTGCAGACAGGAGGTAAGCGTGATCGCGTTTCAGCCGGCATAAATGCAGCAGTTACAACCGGTACAGTTTATGCCGGCTGAAACGCCCCGTCTGAACGCACCCAGTGTGCTCCAGGTGGGCAGCCACGTCCGTCTGAAGTAGCAGAACAAGTTCTGAGTCCGGTAGCCCCTTTAAAGAAACCTTTGTTGGTCTTCAGGGTGCTGCTGGACTCAACAGCTGTTCTTTTCGCGGTGTGTGAAAGCCTGGCGGGTTGCCTCCCACTTAGGGCGACTGTAATGATTCCATGTTTTGGTGTGTGTGTGTGTGTGTCTTTTGGGGGGAAAAGTGTGGAAGAGCTTTGAAGAGAGTCCGTGTGACTCTAAAAGCTTTGTGAGAGCGTCTATATGGCAACGAAACAAGTTGTGTCTAAACTGTGTGGTTAGAGAAATGTTTTATCTTGTGTGCCTAAGACAAAGATCTTAGCAAGTGTGGAGATATACATATGAGAGAGAGAGAGAGAATATTCTGAGTGTATAAGCCAGTCAAAGTAAAGTCTGAGGGACTGTTCGTAACACCAAGTTTAGAAAAAGAAGAAGAGATTGGGTTTAAACACTGCCCTTCACTACCCAAAGGAGTCCCAGAGCTGCTTACAACCTCCATTCCCTTCCCCTCCCCACAACAGACAGACACCCTGTGAGGGAGGCGGGGCTGAGAGAGCTCTTGACAGAAACTGCTCTTTTTCAAGAACAGATCTTATCAGAACTACGGCTTGCCCAAGGTCATCCAGCCAGGTGCAAGTGGAGGAGTGGGGAATCAAACCCAGTTCTCCCAGATTAGAGTCCGCGCACTTTTAACCACGACACCAAACTGGCTCCTAGAAGGAGGTGGAGGAGATTGGATTTATACCCCGCTCTTCACTACCCAAGGGAGTCTCAGACCGTCCTACAAACTCCTCTCCCTTCCCTTCCCCACCACAGACACCCTGTGAGGTGGGTGGGGCTGAGAGAGCTCCGACAGAAACTGCTCTTTTTCAAGAACAGCTCTTATCAGAACTACGGCTTGCCCAAGGTCATCCAGCAGCTGCAAGTGAAGGAGTGGGGAATCAAACCCGGTTCTCCCAGATTAGAGTCCGCGCACTTAACCACGACACCAAACTGGCTCCAGTTTAGCCAGCTATATTTACAAGTTCGTTCTTTTTATTCAGTAACAGTTCAAAATAACCAGAAACCTATGTTGTCCTTTATTAAATAAATCAATTTTTGTTTTAAAAACATCCCAGAAATTAGTATACTTCCTCAGGGCCATGTAGTACTCTGAAGTGCCCAGACCCTGGGTCATACTACCAAAAGAGAGAGAATTGGAATTTTAATTCCTGGTGGCAGCAGAAAACTACCAAGTTTGTGTACTCCATGAGTGTTTAAAGGTAAAACCGTCTCCCTATAAGCAAGCACGCCACAGTGACCCTGTGTCCTCCGAAATGGCCTGTTGCTCAGGGCTTGCAAACTACAGGGGAACTGGGATCTGTAGCCTGGAAATCAGTTGGCAGTCCAGGAGTAGTCCAGCCAATGCTCCCGCGAAGCCGTGGAGTCTTGTGAGCAGAAATTCTACTCTGTGAGCTCCTGGCATTAAAGCTGTGAGCGAGCGATTTGGCTCCTGCATAAATGAGTCTGCTCTGGAGCCATCCCTTCCTGAGCTGAGACAAAAATGTGTGAGCCAGAGGCTAAAAAACTGTGAGCTGGCTCACACTAACTCAGCCTAGAGGGAACACTGACTCCAGCCCCTGCCCAGAGGTTGGCAACCCAGAAGGTGGCCCTTGCCTTGCTGGCGATCTGTGTTGGGAGGCCGGGAGTTGTGACCACCGCCAATACTTTCATTCATTCATTATAAGTAGGACTGCGTTTGATTCGTTTAGGTTTTATTTACCGGCAGTCCTGATTGGAGACGGACAATTGTGGTTTTTGGTGTGTTGTTTTTATTTCCATTGGAAGCCCCCCTCGAGTTCTGCAAGGTGGAAAGGCGGCTAATAAATATCTTACGTGAACGGAAAACCAGTTCTCCTCACGCTTTCTCCCCAAACGTGGCCCTCTGGTGCAGCTTGCAGGAGAGAAAAAAACAGGACAATCTGACATTCCAATCCAGTGTAAATGTGCCCTGAGCCAGGTCCTGGCAACATGTCCGTGGGGGGGGGGAGGTGTCCGGCTGCCTTCTGCTCTCCTGCTGGCGGTCCCGGTGACGACAGCTCGAAGGAAAGAGAAGAAGAAGAGGAGGAGGAGGAGGAGGAGGAGGAGGAGGAGGAGGAGGTTGGGTTTATACACGCGCCTGCA